AAACAGAAAAGAACCCGCCGCAGAAAAATTGCAACGAAAATCTCTATCCAAAAGGCAGCTCAGCCCCCACAATCGAAGGCCCAGGTCATTTTATATATATATATATATATATATATATATATATACGTATATGTATATATAATGCTTCCATGGATGTCCTGTGGACCCTTTTCATCAACCTTGATCACCGCCACTGCATCCCTTTTCCCTCTCTTCTCCTCTCGAGGGATCAGCTCTTCGTGGGTTGGGCAAGTAAAGCTGCAAGCACACAAACACCAATCCAGAGGATCAGAACAGCAATGAATTCCTGGCTACTAACCTTCTCCATTTCACGGCTATTGGTCTCAATGTTTCTTGTCCCTCTTCTTGTACAAAGCCTTCTTTCCTGTATTCCTCCGCTTCAGCTGTGATCCATCTGACTCCGAATCTTCATATACAGCAAGACCAAGCAGAAAAGAAAATGGTTACAGGTACTAAGAGATGACCATTCAAGAAGAGTTTTTAGCTTGTAGTAAATCTATGGGCGCCAAAAGAAGAAAACATTATGTCACTAACTCGGATTGGTTTATTTCGCTTATAAAAAACTTATAACTATTCGATTTTTATATTGAATTTGATTCAATTCGTTTTTATTGGTAAAATACTATTTTTTATTAAAAAAATCAATTTTTATTAGATTCGGTTTAAATATGGGTTTTTGGGGGTTAAAAATGAAAATGCTCTATTAGGTTTTTTACGCCGGAATAGCTACAGGTACGGTTATGACTTATTGGGTTCCGCTATTCATTTGTAATTGGATCCCAATGAAACAAAGGCGACCTAGTTTAGACTCCTCAGTTGTGTATGAGATAAGCCATGCACATTAATAGGATTACAGTAATTACCAGTTTTTACCAATTTGGCCATTTTGGTTTCGGATCGATTTCAAAACGGTTATATTTGTGTCTAGTTATGTTGGATATAAAAAATTATAACCATTCGGTTTTTATATAAACTTCGGTTCAGATTTAGTTTTTTATTGTAATTTTTTTCATAAAAACTGATGGTTTTTCGGTTAATTTTTTAATAGTTTCGGTTCACTTAGCTTTCAGTTTTTTTGGATTCAGAGAAAATATAATTGTTATGTCAAATTCGATTCGATTATGATTATATTTTATTTAGTTCGGTTATTTGGTTAATAACTAGACACCAAGTTAATTATTTCCTAAATCTCAACGAGAGAGTTGGATAAATGACCTCGCATTGCTATGGAAAACCAAACATGTCAACTGCTGCCTATATTCATGCAAGTTCCAGTGATAAGATACTATGACCTAGTTATCTACCATAGTCGCTAGCCGCAAGCCATCTCTCATACAAGGAAAAGGAAATCAAAATCGGGAAGAAACAACTGACCGACGCCACTCCCTGCGTCTCGTCTCGTCCGGATCCGGGAGAATAGGGCCATCGGAGGCGAAGATCATGTCATCGGAGGCGATGATGCTCCCCATAGCAGTCGGGGAATGGAGGATTATCGGATCCGTACAATCCGTCGCCATTGGCAGCGGGAGGTGGCGGCGGATTCGAGAAACTTTGGAAGCCGTTCCCAATATATGATTCGTCATGGAACGATGGCTGATCGTTCGCCGGGAAATCTCTGTCGTCGAACGTCGCCCTTCTTCAGGGACACGATTATTTTTGATCGTTGGTTTGATTTCTGATGAAGGAGAGGGAAAACGGCAGCGTTCTTGGTTGGTCTAATTTTTTGCGTCTTCTTCTTGTCATTAAACAATTTGACACGTTGATGGATGGATAGCGTGTAACAAACTCAGCAGTCAGCCAACACGGAGTCGCTTGCTTTAAACGCTTGGAGAAAAGTCAACCATCCTTTTGGTCCGGACGGCCGCTGATCAACTCTGTCGCGAGTGGAGCAACAATGGCTGATCGGTTCTTCGATAACGTGATGCCCGACTTTACGAGGGAGACGGATACAGAAACGCAAGGAGACTCCCTGACGAAACTTCTAGCGATGCCATACTCGTCTCTATCGCAGCAATTCAAACGATCTGCTTTGGATCTCAAAGAAACAGTACATTCCATCTCCTTCTCCATCCTCTATACTCATTGGGTTTCCATGGAATTGGTCTAAAAATGCTCATCAATTGTTCCCGAATTTGCCTCTGTCTCAGATAGTGATGGAAACTTGGGGTTTTAGTGGGCAGAATGTGAAGGACTTCACTCTTTACTCGGGCACTCTCGGGGCCGCGTTATTGCTCTTCAAAGTTCATCAAATGAGCAAGAACGCAAACGACCTTGCCCTCTGCTTGCAAATTGTCAAAGCCTGTGATGCTGCTTCCCGCTCCTCCCGGTACGCTCTTCCCCTCCTCGCTTTTCCGCCATTGATTCACTTGAACAAGTTTATGAGGGTTTATAGGGACGTGACGTTCATCTGTGGCGATTCACTAGAACAAGTTTATGAGGGTTTATAGGAACGTGACGTTCATCTGTGGCCGGGCCGGCGTTTGTGCTCTTGGCGCCGCTGCGGCGAAGGTTGCCGGTGAGGCAGAGTTACTCAGTTACTATTTGACACAGTTCAGACAGGTATACTTTTTCTGTTTTTGTTGATTGGCCCCCAACTGTTTGCTTGGTGGATAGGCTTGAGTCTGATGTTTTGAACAGATTGAACTGCCTAGGGATCTTCCTGATGAGTTATTATACGGAAGAGCTGGGTATTTATGGGCTTGCCTTTTCCTCAACAAACACATCGGAGAAGAAACTGTGCCTTCAGCTACCATAGTAAGCGCATTTCTCTAAATGACGTTATAACGTTTGAGGATCTGTTGGATAATCGAAGATTATGTGGGCAGAGTGAAGTTGTTGGCGAGGTTATCAAGGGAGGAAGAACCATGGCGAAGAAAGGTAGTTCCCCTCTCATGTATGAATGGTACGGTGACAAGTACTGGGGTGCTGCTCATGGGCTAGCAGGCATTATGAACGTTCTGATGGATGTCCCGCTGAAGCCGGATGAGGCCGAGGATGTGAAGGGAACCCTCAAGTACTTGATCAAAAATCGGTTTCCATGTGGGAACTACGCTGCTAGTGAAGAGGATCGGAGAAGAGATGTTCTTGTGCATTGGTGTCATGGAGCTCCAGGGATTGCCCTCACCCTCACCAAGGCAGCTAAGGTGATACTATATATAGTTTGAACTAAAAAAAATTGTCTGTGTTCTTGAACATAGTTGATGGCAGGTGTTTGGAGACGGAGATTTTCTGAAAGCGGCAGCAGATGCAGCAGAGGTGGTCTGGAATCGTGGACTGCTCAAACGTGTGGGGATCTGCCATGGAATCAGCGGGAATGCATACGTTTTCCTCTCTCTCTACAGAGCCACGAGCAATACTGAGTATCTGTACCGGGCAAAAGCATTCGCCTGCTTCCTTCTGGATAGAGCCCACGAGCTACTGTCAGAGGGGGAAATGCACGGAGGTGATAGTCCTTATTCTCTGTTTGAAGGCATCGGAGGCATGGCTTATCTGTTCCTCGACATGGTTGAACCATCCCAGGCCAGGTTCCCTGGTTACGAGCTTTAGAAACTTTTAGAGTTTTCATCTTTCAATATTTCACTTGACAGTTTTACTTTGTTAAGAAACAGCAATAAAAGAAAAGGCCAGAGAAAGAGTTTCCTGGTCTATCGCCTTTGTTTACAACCCTGGATGTGTTTTCTTGAAACCAGAAAATGGGACAACTTTGGACTCTTTGCATCACATTACAAGAAAAAGAAAAATATACACATGGAATCATGATTTCTTCTATGGGCCGTTAAACTCTGACATCATTTCAACCGGATAACCGTACAGCCCTATGATGCTGGAGACGAAGCAGGAGCAGCAACTAACTCATCTATATAGTCGCCACTTTCAAAAAGCCTCTTCCTTTTTATGATAATTCAAAACGTCTCCTCCATCTTGTCTCTGAGTAAAAAATGAACAAATCTCCCCACCATGGATCTGATCATTTGAAGGAACGAAGAGCGAAATCCCGTCAAGTTGGCTCTCGTTTTCTCAGCCCCAGAAACTCCATCGAGAGAGAAAACATGCCGAACGTTGAAACGCTTGATCAGAAGTCGGATTTCAGGCATCAAAGTCAGGCAACTCTCAAAGAAAATCTCATGCCCTCTCCGCTGATTGAGGATGAGGAGAGTTTCATACTTCCTGCAAGGTATTCCTTTGACCAATACACAACTTCACCACTGAGGGATTCCTCTAAACATGAATCAGATTCAGAGTTGAGCGATGCCTCAACTCACAAGAGGTGTTCAGTTCGATCCTGTAAGCCTGGTATCCAGATTCCTTCCAAATATCTGCATGATTTAAGATCAAGACCCAGAAAATGTAGCAAGAAAGCACTCGCAGAAGATCCCCAGGAAGTTAACAGCTTCAGGGGCATCAAGAGGACTAATTCACTAGCAAGGTATGGAAGTTCGACTTCTCAGTGGGCGTTGTCACCAGGAAGATCACGATCACCACCGTTATCGTTGGAAACCAAGGCCATTCCAGTCCCGTGTTCAAGACTGAAAGTGAAACCTCCTCCGGTTGCTAGCCCTTCAAGAGCAAAGGGCGTGACTATACCGTTGAACCTGGCTTTCAATTTCTTCAAGAGCAAGAATAACTCTTCATCTTATTGTTCACCTCCCAAACTCAAGCCGTTTCACACAGAAGCTGTTCATCAGCTTAAGCTTCTACACAACCGGTTAGCTCAATGGAGGTTTGTCAATGCCACAGCCTGCGCTGCAAGGGATAACATAGATGCCCGAGTAAAAGTATGGGTTTTTTTCCCTCTACTCTCTGAAATTGTAGTTTTCATGTGTGACATTGATTTTGTTTCAAGATGCGACTGCAAAGAGCCAACAGAAATGCGTCTAACCGTCAAGTAAAAGCGATAACTTTGCAGAAACAACTACTCTGCGCATGGGGTGCTCTTGCCGAGTTAGAACTTTCTATTCTGCGGGAGAGAATCGGACTGCAGAAGAGAAAACTAGAGGATAAGCTGGGTCATGTGCTTGTCTCTCAAGTAAGTAGCAGTTCCATACCCATTTGCTAAAGCCAAGCTATATATGTGTGATCTTTTACCATGAATGCCCATTGAATCATACATTGAAACAGATAAAACATCTCGAAGCTTGGGAAGATCTAGAAAGGCAACATCTTTCAGCTGTGTCGGTGACCAGCCAATGCCTGCACTCGATTGTTTCCAGGCTTCCACTAGCAGAAGGTGCAAAGGTATACATATATATATATATCAGATCACGGTCCTCTGTCATGTTCCTTTTTCTTCTAATCAAATACGAAGCCTTTTGTCGAGGTGTTCAGGTGGACATGGGATTGGCTTTAAGAACATTTCAGCAAGGGGAAGAGCTGACAGGCTCTATAGAGCCAACCCTGACAAGTTTTGGTTCCTCGGTACAGCGTTTCAACTTGATAATATAAATGTTGAGGGATAATTGTGTGTAAGTGGTCATATTACACAAAACTGGAAAACGATGCATGAACAGATGGAGGGTTTTGCTTCACTCATCTCCCAACTTGCGGAAGTGGTTGCACGGGAGAAGATGATGCTGGACGAGTGCCGCCATCTTTTGAGGATGATTTCTGAGTTAGAGGTCATATATCTATATATATATACACACACACGCACATGAAGATCTAAAACTGTTTTCACTCATCTTCTCTCGTATGTATTCGGCAGATGCGAGAGAGGGGCTTGAGGTGCTGCTTCATCCAAACAGACAGCCGACAAGAATCAAGTTCAAGCCAATGACATGACGAGCTAGCACTTGGAATTGAAACACTAGCTGCCAATGATTTGTTTTTTTTTTTTGGAAAGACTGTGATTTCCAGGGGTTATGTGGAGAATGCCTTTGATGGGTATTGGAATGTTTTCAAATGATTCATACGCATGCATTTGGTTCTCTCACTCTGCTTCCCTCTCAACTCTTCCTCCAACCAAAACGCCATTGTTTCGATTTGAAAAAACTCTTACCTTTTCATTTGTGGTAAATATACAACAGCAGAAATTCAAAAAGCGCAGGAGACTCTGGTAGATGAGGAGGGTTCGAATAGAAGACTCTGGTAGAGAAGGAGGGTTCGAATACGATGTCGTTTGTCACGCAAGTAACAGTTTTATGGAGATTTCTTCCTTCTGCTGGAAGTGCGACAACTCACAGATCCTCGAAAACCCTAAATCGGAAGCAGAGGTCAAGGTCGATGGCATCCTTCGCTCGCCGAGCTGTCAGCATCGCTCAATTTCCATCTCGCCGGATTCCGACTCAAACTCCCTCTATTACTCAGCGCCGTGGTCTTGCCGGCGCCGCTGGTACTCCCTCTCTCTCCTCCCTTTGTTTAGTTTCTTGGATCTGCATTCTCTTGAATACAGTTCGTCCGTACATGTTGTTTTCCACTTCTTATGCTTGTCAGATCATGTTCGCTCTATATATCGGTGAACTAAGGCAAAAGGGAGATGATAAATCAAAACTTTGCCTAGATACATCGTCTTTGATGTTGAAGATTTTTGGCTTGTTTCCCTCGTTCCGTGAATGGATACTGTATGATGTATCTTTAGTCGAAATGTGCCTTTGAACCAAGTTTGGGGCTTTGCGCATTCCGCAGATCACCATGGGCCTCCCAAAGTTAACTTCTGGCAAGCACCCATGAACCCCGCACAATGGAAAGAGGAGCACGTACGTATCTTATTCTCCTCATACTTGTTGTTAGAATGATAATTGAAACGAGCTTATAGCTAGATAAAATTATGTTCGTGGAAGTACGATTGTTTCAACACCAAAAGAGTAGATTCGTGTTTCCGTGACCCGCAACTTATGTCGTGCAGTTTGTGCTTATTTCGCTATCTGGTTGGGGCTTGCTCTTCTACGGTGGATACAAGTTCTTCACGGGAGGGAAAAACAAGAAAGAAGAGGTACTTCCTCCATAAAGGTGATGCTCTTCTTCCGGATCAGCTTAGTTTGCTCTTATAATTCTTCTTTTAATCTTTGCAGAAAGCTGTGGAGGCTACAAAATGACTTTGACGTTTACAGGGAAGACATTTCATTGGTTGAACTTGAAGCTCTCTGTTTCTATTGCATTTGTGCTTGTTCCAGCAGTTGAACCTGCTTCTGAATCTTATATGATCTTGCTTGGTGACTGATTTTGAATCAAGAGCAGCATTTAGTTGCACTGAAATAATATGCATTGCTTTTGGGGATTATATGTCCCAACAGGTGATTTTAGACAGCGTTGGCTTTGATCATATCCTAAATAATGCATGATGATAATGCTCTAAACTTCTCCCCAAGAGGCTGGTGTGATCATGCCACTGCATGCATAATAATTCTTATGGATCCAATCCATCTTGGGTTTTGATATCAATCTGTCTTCCTCATTCGACCTCCAAATATGTAGAGCCATCTTGGAATGTTTTTGGGTCTCCACCAGAATTCTGGCTGCTGGTCATGGCTTCCTTGCTGCTTCGTATGTTTCATCATTTACATTTACCCCTTTTTCCCTTTGTTGATTGTGCTGTTGCAGCTTCGTATCTTAGGAATACCCTCTCTAAACTAGGACAAGCTTTTGCATTGCCTGCCATCTGCGCTGGCATTGTGTATTCTCTAAGCAACTTTTGTGATGCAGTAACGGTTGAATCATGTACTGCTCGGGAGATGATAGTACTATGTAGATGGAAAGTTCAAGGGGTGTGATGTTGAAAACAACCGTGTTGTTCTGTGGGTAACAGGCATCTGGTCAATGGTCATGGCAGCCAGATATAGTAAAGAGCCAAAATTCTACTTGAAAGTTTTAGTGGATAAGTATTTTTTTTGAAATGTTGTAAGATTTTTCTAAACTGTAAATGTGCACGGGAATGTCAAGCGCATCCAATAACAATGGCTGATCGAAGGCAGGGCTTTTCAACGTCAAGCCACAAACGTCGCACACAAGAACAAACAACCAAAATGAGTTGAGACCCGAAGTGCAATATGTTGCAGCCCCTTTTTATGGACTTTCTGTAGAAGGGACAATGAAATGCAGAGAAATGGTACAGATTCCACCTCCCTTTGGAGTTCACAGGAGAAGACCTCAGTCAAAGCTCGAGATGACTTGGGATATAATCAATCCCCCTTCTTTTGGAAATACCCAGAGAAGCACAGAGAAAAGGGTGACAAAACACAATGACAGAAGAAGAGATAATACTACCTACCACCCCCTGTGAGACCTTAGGATGGATCTTTTGCAAAGAAGACAGTAGAAGAGAGAAAAAAAAAAAAAAAGAGGAGGATTTCTAACCCTCTCCTCGGGAGGAGCAATAGTTAATAAAGATGGCAAAATGGTCAACTGCATCATGAATTTCTTATTGTTAACGTTAGAAAGTCAAACTGAACCAGTTGGCTTGCTTTTGTTTATTAGACAAACCTTAGAACACCACGATTTCAAGTCATAATTGAAGAAATTCAAAGCCTTCAGAGGAAGCAAATAGAAAATCTGCAGAAAAGTTCAAAGACATCAAACCATATATTAATCGCGTCAGGTTAGGTTATGTTGCAAACCACGTAAAGATTTATATTGCAGGTTGCCACGAAAGAGAGGTGACGTGTAATTTGCCAAGTGTGTAAAAGAAAAAAGTACAACCCATGTGAACAATGAATTCACCACAAGTTGTTGAATGGGAAATATATTTCTGGCATTCAATGTTGAAAGCTGTAACCCAATTGGAATTGTTCCAAAAAAAAATTAAAAAGGAAGGTGCATTCTAAAGCTTTTTTCTTTAGCGAGGGTCCATGGATGTTTCCATCTTATTGATCGACTTTGCTTTATTAGATCGAAGTTTACGAGTTAAACATGAACCTATTCTCTGAAACCCATCTTTTTGCGCCAACCAATCCTCTCTCTTCCTCGTCAGAAAATTGGTTCGATTGGCGGTCAACATGTCTTGTAAGAACAAACGAGATTTCTATGGATCAAAACTTGAGCAATTAGATAAAAAAAAAAAAGAATATTAATTTTGCATGTATCCCATAGAAATAGCTCTGTCTCTGGGAAAAAAGGAAGCAAGCAAAACAAGAGCAGGAGACAAATGACTTTCTTAATTTAGAAAAGCTAAAGGGGGAAATGGAGCTACATTGGTCAAATAACTAGCGATCAAAATTAAGCTACATAACACCAATGGGTTTAGGTAAGCTATATAAAGAAGAGGAGGAGAGATCAGTGGTACGATCGAAGAAGAGCGCCGCAGAAACCACAGAGGATTGCTCTCCAATATTTGCGGTAAAAGGGGACGCGGCAGAATCTTGTGGAGGTTGTCATGTCCGCTACGACTGCACCACCGCCGCAGCGTGAGCACTGTCCCGCCACCGGCTTTCTTCCGCGGACTTGCTTCCTCTGATCCACCAGAAAGCACAAGAATGCCATTTCCCTCCTTTCTGTAATCCAACAGAGGGAGAGAGAGATGCCAAGGGTTATATTCTGTCCTCTCTCTCTCTCTGTGCCCTTTAAGTAGTTGGTGAAGAAGTAGTTTTGGGGAGAGAGGCATTCATGTGGGTCGGTGCCACGTGTCAAATACAGTTGGCCTTTTGACTTTGTCGTGACAGTCGAGCAGTTGACGCTATTCACATCACATATTCATTAACTGCTATGACTGCTTTCTTCAATATCATCATGTTGTTTCACAAAAAACCTGCAACTTTCAGCATTTGCATTTAACTCCTTGGAATGGATATGGCTGTGACAGTCCTCCCCTCATGACGAATAAGAAATTGAATGTTTTGGGTTTTTGGCCTGAGATCAGACCACAAATATACACATTGCCTGAGGTTTCTCGGTCCCTGTACTGTACAATCGCTATGATTCGCACAACTTTTCACGGCTCATCACCAAATAGACTCATCTTCTTCTCCCTCTTCCGAACCATAATCCGACGCCTCATCTTCTAGTCCAGAATCCATACTACACTCCTCTTCTGGCTCGAAAGCAAAGCTCATCTCTTTCTTCACCTGATCGGCCAAGTCCTGCCTGTTCACACTCACATACGCATCTCTGACCGCCTTGAACAATGACTCATTCGTTTCCAGCTCTCCATATGTTAGCCAGCTGTGCATTCTCTTCACGCCCTCCACCATGCCAGCTTTCCCGTAGACCCCAACAAGGTAGATTTGCGTCACAACGTCCGGTTCCAAGCCTTCATCCTGCATTCTCATGTATACATTAAGGGCCTTGTCAACGTCCTTTGAAGAACCGTATGTGTATATTGCGGCATTGTATGTGAAATGCTCCAAAGGGGTTCCAGAGCTCAAGAACGCTTGGCATAATTCCAGTGCAAATGCGTGCAGACCCACGACCGAGAACAAAGTTGCAGTGATTGCTTGTGCGGAGTGTGGTTTAGCTTCGTTGTAGGCAAATTCTAGCTGGGCCACAGCTTCATTTGGAATCCCGCCTTTCTTCAGTAGGGTGAACATCGTTTTGAATGTCCTCCAATCCGGTGAAAGCTTTCTTTCAGCAATCATCTCGTGTAAAAGTTCACAACACTCTCGTAACTGCCCGTAGGCGGCATAGCAAGACATCACCTGGTTGAACGAGGTGCAGTCTCTCAGTAAACTAGACTGTTTCATCTCTTCAGCCACTTCAATGGCCTTATCGAGCATGCCCATGGTCTTGTATAGGTACATCATGGTTGCAAAGGAAATAACATCGCATGTACCCTTTACTCTCAAATCATTGAAAATTGTTTCCGCTTCAGAAACCATACCGAGATCCGCACACAGACTTAACATTGAATTTGATGCAGCAGTATCTGGGCCGCCCTGTGAATCCTTCATTTTCTCATACACTCGTCTAGCTTCTTCCAGAGAACCCACCTTGCTATAAGCCTTGATAAGGGATGTCAAAACAATTTGATTGGATTGAATGCCGTGTTCTTCCATCATATGAAAGTACTGAAGAGCTTCTTCAACCCTGCCGTTCTCAGCGAATCCATTGATTAAGGAACCATACACAACCTCATTAGGTTTCACCCCCATTCTGTGCATCGATTCATACAGGTCAACTGCTTCAGAGAGCCGGTTCAGGCGAACATAGCTCGCAATTAAAGCAGATAAGGTCTTACACCGTGGTTTATAACCTGCTTCAAGCATCTCGGCCAAGAGCCTATGTGATTCATCAACTAAGTCAACCCCAGCGAGCATCTGCATAAGGGAATTGTAAGTGCACTCATCGGGCCAGTTACCTTGGTTCTTCATGCCCTTGACCAGAGAAAGTGCTTTATCGTGAAGCCCTGCCTTGCCATAAGCTTTGATCATGACATTACACTCCAGAACATCATTCCTTTGTCCAGCCACGTTTCTCTTGCCAAAGAAAACAGCCTCAGCCTCTTCCCATAATCCCTTTTCAGCATAAACATCGATTATGGCAGCAAGTGTAACTGATGATAGCACACAGTCCAACTGAAACCTTTCAAAGAGGGACTTTGCCCGCTCAAGAAAACCTTCTTTAACATACATCTGCATAACAACAGGAACTGAGTGCTCATCGATACGAATATCATGTCTGTCCATTTCAGCCATCACTGCTTCCACCTCTCCAACCATATTCCTTTGACACAACATGTGAATGACAGCTCGATGGGTGACAGTATCAGGAAAAAGACCCACTTCCCGGATTTTCCAGTAGTATTTAAGAGCTGCATCAATGTCGCCTGCATCGGCATGTAGAGATAGAAGGATGTTATAAGTCTTTGTATCAGGGGATACCCCTTTCTCTTCCATCTTGCCCATCAACGATTCAGCCTCTGACAAGTACCCATGAGTTCCACAGGTATGGATCATGGTGTTAAATGTTATGGTGTCCATGGGCACCCCAGACTTCAACATCTCTGAAAAGGCGTTTGCTGCATCTTCTAAGCGTCCAGCCTTTCCATACAAATCAATCAGAGTGTTGTAAGTGGAAGTTAACCGTGGCTTCCGAGGAGAACTGTCAGAAGGTGTGGAGAAATGTAGGCTTTTCTCAATAGGGCTCCTGGCGCCGATCCTAAAGAGTTCCATGGACAAGAATTGCTTCAAGTTAACAGGAGAAGAAACAGAGCAGTTACTGACAGAACCAAAGAAAAGGGCATCCAAGTTGAGGCGTCCGGCGCACCAATCCTTGAAGAATGTATGAGCCCTTTCAAACTCGTGGGCGTCCTTCAAAACACGAACAACAGTAGTCATGGTGACTTCATCAGGAAAATGGCCCCTCTGTGCCATGTGTTTGACCCACAGAAGAGCTTCGTTGACAAGGCCGGCCTTGCCGTAGACATCGACCAACATGGCGTAGGTATTATTAGTGGGTAAAACACCGTTATGAGCCATTTCAATCCAACACAGCCTCAATTCATCCCATTTCCCGGCTCTGCCTAAGGCTCGAAGCACGATGTTGTAATGAATCACATTGGGAACATAAGTATCCTGGGATTTGAAGAAACGAAACACCCGAAGAATTCTGTCGCAGCAGCAAGACTGCTCCTTGAGTACGACAGTCTGCTCCTTAGGGCTCAAATTAAGACAAGAAGAAGAGAGGGTTGTCTCGATATCAGAAGCAGACTCCAAAGAGCGCAAAATCGAGGGAAGCACACCGCCGTAACCCCGCTTGCGAGGGCGGAGCTTGGAGCCTCTCGCGGGAAATACAGCGGATCCAGAGGCGCAGCGGAGGTTAAACCCAAGAGAACGGTTACGGGGAAAGGATGGGAGACTAAACCCCACAAAAACCCTAGTTGTGGGAGCACAAGGAGGAGAGAGATGCTTACCCATGTGAAGCCCTAGACGTTCATGTCCGACGTCTCTCGAGGAGTGAGTCGTCTGAAGAAGCATGGCTTTCCAAGCTTGTGAAAAATCAAAGACGAAATCAGGAGACTTGGAGAGGTTTAGGGTTGATTTTCTCTCTCTCCCATGGGTCGCGCCAAGACGCTCAGATGCTGCAGACTCCCCTGCCTGCCTCCCAATTTTAAGATATTTCGCGTTTTTGGAGAATCTGTCATGTAACAATCTATGTTGTTCCTTCGGTCGCCACGTCGTTTCGGATTCGGTTCGATTATATTCGGGTTTGATTATTTCGCTTATAAAAAAATAAAACTATTCGGTTTTTATATAAAGTTCGTTTCAGTTCAGTTTCGATAAAAAGTTTGTTTTTTCAAAGAAATTGTCGGTTTTTTCGTTATTTTTTTAATCGGTTCGGTTTAGTTTTAGTTTTTTCGGATTTAAAAAAATCGGAACGGTTCGATTTTTATGTCGGGTTTCGTTCGGATACGGTTATAATTAGGGGTGGGCGAACGGTTCGGTTCGGTTTAATCGGTCACGGTTAATTCGGGTTTGGGTATTTCGGTTTTTGAAAATTCATAACCAAACGGTTATTTAATTTTATTCGGTTCGGTTCGGTTCGGTTTCGGTTTGGTTCGATTCGGTTTTATATACTTAAAATTATAACCAAATTATAACCAAATAAAGATTCGGCTCGGTTCGATTCGGTTATAATATTAAATTTTTTAAAAACGTTTATAATAGAAAAAATATTCAAACAAAATATAATATAAAATATCATTATAAACATCTTGACATATGAAACAACAAAATATAAATTTATGTCATGATTTGTTTTGACTTAAAAACAATAAAATAAAAGATTTTAAATAAATTTTATCATTTTTAAATGTTTATATAGCACAAAATTTAAAAATCATAAAAAATAAAATAAATTTAAAATAATAAAACAATGATTTAATTAGAAAAAAATTATATATCTCAATTTGTTATATACATAGTTATAAAACAATATCATTATACTATTTTTCTAATTAGATTTAACATATATATTGTATATTAACTAGTGATACATAGGTGGATAAATGGTTATATTCCGTTTATTCGATACGGTTAATTCGGGTTCGTTTTATTCGGTTTACGATTATTTCGGGTTCGGTTATTTCGGGTTTTAAAAAATCATAACCAAACGGTTATTTAATTTTATTCGGTTCAGTTCGGTATGGGTATATATCGGTCAGTTCAGTTAATAACTAAAATACCCGAACCGTTCGCCCATCCCTAATTATAATTATTCAATTCAGTTCCGTTCGATTCAATTCAGATATTCCGATAGCTACTGAAATGGTCAACCCTGTTGTCCCATGTATTATGAAATTTGTTCAGAACTTCGTCCAAAATCTTTTATGCGGGATTATGGGTTTCAAACATAAATTTTGTAAAGAATATTTCGATACGATATCCTCGATTTTTATACAGTCTCTCTTCAAAGACCAAATTGTCCATTAGTCTATAAAAACACCATTTGTTGAAGAGAAACCAATGGATTACGAAAATTCGAAACTCGTTTAAAAAACATTTTTAGAAAATTTTTCTAAATAAAAGAAAACGATCGGATAAAGAAAATGATCACATGGACAACCTAACCTATTTATAGCTTTAAAAAAATGTGCGAAAGAAGAATAAATGTTTTGTCGAGCACTTCTGTCCAAATCATTTCACAAAAAAAAAGATTGGTATGGAGTTTAACCGTTTCATACCGAACCGAACCCGACATCAAAACCGGACGGTTATGATTTCCTTAAACCCGAAAAATCGAAACCGAAACCGAACCGAACCGAATAAAAAATAAGCGAAAAAACCGAGAGAACAACCGACAATTTCTTTGGAAAATTGAACTTTTTATCAAAACCGAATCTGAACCGAAAAATAACCGAACCGAAATTTATATAAAAACCGAATGGTTATAGTTTTCTATAATCGAAATAACCGAACCCGAATATAACCGAACCGAAACCCGAATTGGCCACCCCTTCATATCGGCGTCCAACATTTCAATTTTATATTTCATACCAGATCAGAACGCCACTCTTATAATCAAACAATACCGAATAAAAATTTAGAATGTTATTGGAAAGTCCCCTCACCCCAGTTCGAATCCACCCGGGTAAAATCTTTACCAAAAAAAAATTGTTAATATCTCATTGATTTTGATACATTCAGAATGTTATAATCATCTTCACACGGTAGATTTCAAATATAACATTAAATTTAATATTCCATTGTAAAAGGTAATTTAAAATTTGGGTCTTTACCACAACATACAAAATCATTTTTTTTAATAGAATATTCCACGAGCTTATGCTATTACAGCAGAGCTCGTACGAAACATGAGCCACTGCCGTGTAGCAATCTTCAGTTGTCATATTATCCATTGTCTTCTTAAGCTTAACATGCGTTTCTGCGACTTGGGCAAAATCTGATCTGTAGTTTGGGCATTTTCCATCTGAATTTACATATGCGTGTATATGGTTTGAAGTGTTGAACTTTTTATCAAAACCGAATCTGAACCGAAAAATAACCGAACCGAAATTTATATAAAAACCGAATGGTTATAATTTTCTATAATCGAAATAACCGAACCCGAATATAACCGAACCGAAACCCGAATGGTTCGGTTCGGTTTAGTTAATAACCAAAATGACGGCCCTTGTTGTTGGGTGGAGTCATGCGATTCTCTACATGTTCTTCCACAAATTCTGTTTTTATTATGAGGATAATTAAGAAACGCCCTAGATTTCATCCCTAAACAGCATTTTAGAAACAAGGCACGCTCTCTCGAACAAAGACAGGATCGATCGTAGTGAAATATCTAGCACACATAACCTAAGCCCGTGACATAAAACCAATATTCAGGACGTTGAAACAGACCCATATTCCCCGCATTTCGCACCTAGCAAATGCTTATTTGTTGGCAGATGAGAGGAACTCAAGGGAGTGGCACTGGTGGAACTTGACTGCCCCCTCCAGAGCTTGGGGTTGGAACTTCGTATCCGGGATTGGGGACAAGGGTATCATCTCCACCGGGTATCTGGGTGCGAGTCCCTGTTCCTTGTCCGCCGCCGTACGGGATTTGGCCGCCGATGGACCCTCCAGTGAGGGGAGCTCCAGTGACAGGATTGTAAGGGTAGAAGGGCTTCTTGCATTTTGGAGGCAGCAAGTACCTGCCGAGACCCGGGACGAGAACAGTCGGCTGAGGTTCAATCGTTACCAGAAAATCTGGGTGTTTGACATCAGGGTCCTTGCGCTTTCCGTTCACCTCCTCCAAAAACACAAGAACAAGGCTGAATATCGCCACTCGAACAAGGAGGGAAGCCATTTTTTTTAAGACACAAGACTTTGATGAAAGAAGGTAAGGGTTTTGGTCGCTGTGGGATTACAAGGATGAATGGTGTATATAGTAAGAGAGGTGAACTAACTCTGGGAACATTTAACGGGAGTGAAACCATATGGTTGAAACAGAAAGGACGGGCATGCGGTGAAGTGAGAGAGCATTAGAGAGTGTCCAAAGTTTGGTGCATTCTCAATCTTGAAGTTGGCGGTGAGTTAATATCTTACCTTTTTTGTTTGTTTGTTTTATTCATAGCCGATGTGAACCAATTTGTAGGTGAAAACGAGGACGTAAAACGTTTGTTTCGTCCCGAATTCGAATCTCAAATTGGAGAGGAGAATATAATTTCAATCATACGGTTTGCTCCTAATCCCGTAATTAGTTTGGGTCTCAACCCAAAATACCCGTTACTAAAAAAAATCGTACCCCATATGAAGTTTGTAGTCATTATCGAGAGCTCGCCCAATCCTTGTGGGCTTGGTCCAACTTAACCCATTCACAAACCAAATTGGGTTCATGATTTTATCTGGGTTTAATTATTAAATGAGTACGATGAGTTTTCATTTTGTGGGTTGTCTTGTAAGGAACTCATGACTCAACCTTGAGAGAATCCAAGTGTATAAGAAATCATGCAGAGAAACTGAGACCGTTCCATCAAATTCACAGAGAAAAGAACCCCACAAAAGCTCTACTTGGAGAAAGATGTAGAGATCAACAAAAACGCGTGAGAGTGGAAGAAGAGAAAATCAATCAGGGGATGGGGTAGGACTTGTTGTTGCACATGCACTTGTAAGCCATGGGACATGTCTCGGCCTCCTCCAGCGACGCGCACACAAAGCTAACCATCACGAGCCTACACGGCGAGCACGACCCGCACGCGTGCGAACAGTCTGGCAACCTTGACCCCGCCACCTGAACCGTGTCTTGTCCCTTGCGACCCCCGCGAAGAGATCCCCGATTCGCCCTTCCACTCACCGAACCATGGCGATGACCTGTTCGATCTTGCGTTAAAAAACTGCACCAGAAAAAAAAAACAGAGCGAGACGGACGGACGAGGGAGGGTAACCTGATGATAAGGAGTGTGGATGGGGGCGTGAGCGTGAAACGCCAACGAGAACAAGGAAAAGGAGGAGGAGGAGACGAAGAGTAGACTTCATGAGAACGGATTTGAGAGTGTCGGTGAGAGAGAGAGGGGTCGGGGGTGACATATTTAGAGGGAACCCGGTTGAATTGAAGAGGATCACGGCGGACAAGAGGGGAGTCACATGAAAGAATTGTAAGATAAAGTCTGTTGGAGTCCCGCAGTCCAAATCTTCACAAGAATGGTTATGAAGTTTAAAAGCCACCCCTTCATTCAAGTTTTTGTGTGCGGTCTTGGCGTGTCCTCATGAGACAGACTTTTGCATTGCATGCGGTCCTTGAATTGGACGTTATATCTTTGTGAACCCCATTAATGCTCTCTCTCTCTCTCTCTCTCTCTCCATACCCCCTACACTCTCTCTCTGTTCGACCCGAATCATTAGGCCCAATACCAGCCCATTTACGATAAATCATCTGTTTGATACATCACACGCGCCGCGCGCATAGTTTGATAATGATGATGATGATGATAATAAATGCTGGGTGTGATAACATGTTACACTTCGTGCATTTTATTTCTTTTTTTTTAGTTAATACTTATTCTACACTATTGAAATCACCATAGTTTTTTTTTTCACGTATGCAAACACATTGTATGGATTTTATTTTTTGATTGATATATTTACACAATTCTAATAAAAAAATTAAGTATACATGACAGGAAAAGTTTGTTCGAACCTAAACATATGAATTCCATTGAACCGGAGCGTCCCAAACATTTTCGATACTCTGTACAAAAAAAAAATTATTTTAATTTTAAATTTTAATTCTAATTTTAAAAAATTAAATATATTATTAAAATATTAATAACAATAATTGTGATAATAATAATAATATTATTAGAAATAATAAATAATCATAATATATGATTAAAAAATATATAAAAATTATATTTTAAAGATTTATCATTTTTAAAAATAAATATTTAAAATGAATGATATGATATAAAAAAATAAAAGATCAATGTTATTCTAAAATAATATAGACTTTATTTTAGATTTATAAAAAAATTATAATTATAAACTATATTAATTAATAAATTTAATGATATTAATATAAATAAATTATGAATTTAATATATGTGATTACATATAACTCAAAATATTTATTAATTGATTATTATGACAAATTATATATTATACTATTACGACAAATGATTTGGTAAAAATGGTCTTAATTTTATATTAAATACTATAAATTTATAAAAAAATTATTTTTAATGGGGCCCACCTCATTTGAAAAAGTGTAAAAAAATATTTTTAAGTGAATTAAATAAAACTTAAAAAATTTGTTATTTTAATTTTTTAATAAATAGTACCTGTAAATTATAAATATAATTAATAATTTTTTTAAAAATATGGGCCCCACCCAAGTTGTGGGCCCTATACAAATGCTCCAGTTACACATGCTCTAAGACGGCCATACATTGAACCCAAGATTAGATGATTCAACTGGTAAAGAAAGGAGCAAAACTCTTTTCAATTGGGGTTCGAATTCTCACTTGGGAATATAAGTTTACATGGACTTTTTCGATTATCTGATAAATATAGTCGAACCAAAAATCTGGTAAATTTTCAGATTATAAAAAAAAACATGGACTCCATTGATATATTGAAGTATTTATATGTGAGCCAACTAAAAGCGGTGGAGCCACAAAAAAAAATATCTATAATACAATGACAATATGGCAATACTATCAATTGGTTTATCAAAAAAAAAAAAATACTATCAATTGGATGCTATCATGGTTCCGAGGGTTTGTCGCGCCGCCAACAAAATTTCGGACTGCTTAACAACACTCCAAATTGGAGAGGAGAATATAATTTCAATCATACGGTTTGCTCCTAATCCCGTAATTAGTTTGGGTCTCAACCCAAAATACCCGTTACTAAAAAAAATCGTACCCCATATGAAGTTTGTAGTCATTATCGAGAGCTCGCCCAATCCTTGTGGGCTTGGTCCAACTTAACCCATTCACAAACCAAATTGGGTTCATGATTTTATCTGGGTTTAATTATTAAATGAGTACGATGAGTTTTCATTGGAGTGAAACCTTTTATTACTATAAACTAATCCGACCAGGACACTATAATTAATCCTATTAGAAATATAATTCCATAGTATATAAATTTGACTCTCTATAGTTCTCAATATTCCCCACAAACTCATACATGGTAATGCGTATAAGATTAGAGGACTTCAAGTTTCGACTTGAATGTTTATCATAGAAAACTCCCCTAGTATTTCAGAAGATCTAAACAAAATCTCCAAAACAGTTTTACACATATATCCTTAACCGCGACAGAGAAACAAAATACAATTGAAAAAATCAAACGGACGATGATGTGCAAATATGTAAATACACAGAAAAGAATCGTTTGCTGACAAAACTATAATCTAAAGAACGACAGCGTTGCAAAAATGTAACTGCGAAAAAAAAAATCGTTTGCCGATAAAACTATGTCCGACGGAGAGGATTGCGATAAACATTTTTGACGATTTTTTTCTTCAATGACTTGGGAGTGTTATAAAAAAAACAAATCGAAACTAAAAGAAAAAAAATAAATGACTATTTTATTATTCTTCAAAAACGAAACCTTCAACGCAACGAATGCTACATGTAATCGTCCGCATCACCATCACCTCGTATTCAACCATCATTCTTCGCGAAAGTTTTAAAAAAACTTATAATTTACTAATTTTGGACCTTAAATAAATGTTGACTGAAACAACGGTGATGTATAATGACATTGTTTTGCGTTCCACAAATAAATAATCGTTGTAATACAATTTCGACATCTATTCCATTTAAGTAGATGATTGAAACATGAGACATCTAATCCACTTATGGACGGGATCAAATCACAGTTTCTCCCATTTTCTAGAAAATATAATTGAATCGAAGTTCCGGTAAATTTATGAATTATCAAAAAAAAAAATATGAGGCATGGCAAATGTCGTATATTTCCATATACACGTTGATATATTTATCACTTTTTCTATATTTGTTTCCCTCTCAATCATTATACAAGAAACTGGCTAAAATCCAGTAATTAATAGAAAACGCTTGTTTTTTTGTTTTGGGAAAGTTGGTGTATGCTTTATTCTAGTGAAGTTTATGTTTAAAAAAAAAAAAGAGGTGGAGTGATTGGACGCACCACCGACACGTGCTGATGTTCACCGACTTTTGGTTTGATTGAGTTGACTTCTTACAGGACAAAGATCTATTCACTTTCTGACAGCTAACATTTGTCGTTTCGGAGTTTTGTCTCTCCTTCCGCCGAAAGTTAGGAGCTTCGGCTTTGGCCCTGTCCCGTGGCCTCTGCATCCCTCGACTCTCTCTCCCTCCCTCAATTAAAACTCCTCAAACAACCCATATTAGAGCACCGCACCCATTTCTATCGTAATTTTATATGCAATTCTAATGATTAGTTTATTGTCTATTAGATTATTTATTTCGGCTAGTTGCCCATCAATTGCTTTTGATTGTTCTAATTGTCAACCTCTATCTTATAACATTGTCTCTGCCATAATCACGCCTCATCTAAACATTCTGATCCGTAACTAATCATAAACTGGTTTTCTCTTGTCTTTAATATCGATTTTTTTATCCGAGATGGTTATATATATATATATATATCGGTTGTCTCAGAAGATTATTTTTGTAATATATATATATATATATATATATGAAAGTAACTTCATCAATGTCATCCAACATGTCGTGGGCGAGTGGTCAAGTTTGATGTGAAAGGTAATTCTATCTTAAGGTTGAGTGTTCGAATCCTATCTAATATAGAGGGATATAATTTCTGGGTCTATATGATCCATATACAAAGACTGCTATCGGGTTGAAGGTTTACCTAGGTAGCATTAATGTCTATATATATAAACATATAATATTGTTTACTTTTCCTCGAATGGACATATAGATATTTCGGATGAAAAGGTTGTGATCTAAATATAAAAATTTTTGTTACCCGTGAGAAAGGGAATTTTTATTTGTTTTCCAAAAGTTGGTCGGTTTTGTGGGTGAAGAATATTAATATATAAGAAAATCTGAAAGTCAAAGCTGACTTTGACCTGTTGCCAACCCTAGCGTCATCTTGATATGGAGCGTCCTCATCAGCCCCTAACTAAATGTTGTCATCAAAACCAAGATAAGAAATGCATTTATATGGTGCATGCTTAGCTTTAATCATGCCATCCCTAACCGACCAAAAACATCAGTGTCCATGCAAGTGATTGATGTGAGAGATTTTATATTCCCGAAAAATAAATAACTCAATACATTAATAAGACATCTTTTATTCTCTCTATTCATTAGTCTGTGGAAATTCCCTGTACGTGTATATCGTGTATGACGAAAGTCGCAAGATTTTTCCTTTTTTTCAAACACAGGCGCAAGAGTAAATTTTTTTTTTTTTTTTTTAAATTTGGAAGTTCATCGGATTCTAACTTAACCTCAGATGACCGGATAAGCCCATATAAACGATCATCTCAAAATAAAATTTGCAATAAATCAATGGGTGGAGGACGCATGGATTAGGGTTGAAGCAAAGACATATTGTGAAAGAGACGGATGTTATGTACATAACCGAACTCTTTCGATTTGTCTTTTAAAAAAATATTGTATAGTTTTTCTTTACCGGTCCGACTTTATCTTACAGAGGATCGGGAAAGTTTATGCGAATATCTCACCTCAAGTGAAAACTCGAATCTGAATCGGGAAGGAATTTTACTTACTTAGTTACTTACCGATTGAGCCATCCAATTTTGGATAAATATTGGAAAGTTATCATCAAGGGAGTAAGTTCCGGATATAAAATTATGATGACAATATTGCAGATGGATTTATCCTAGTTTTGGACTCTCTTAGTAGAATTATTTGGCTTGAATGTAAGAAGTTTTTTTGAATAAAAAAAATTGATAATTAAGATTTTATATATTTAGGTTTTTTTTTAACTCAGAAAACTAGTTTAGGAAAAAAAATCAATTAAATCCATTTTTTAAAATTTACATGCTATAAAAACAAACAAAAAAATCAAGAGTTAAAAACCACAACAAATTAAAAAAAATAAAAATCAAAATAAAAACTATCACCATTCATATCCCATATCATTTATTTTGTTTTAAAACAAATTATTGTTCTTTTGTTATGGATTTTTTCCAAGTTTTTATATTTTGGGTTCTTGTGGCCGATACAAATTTTCGTATTGGTCAATAAAATTTTTAAAACTTCAAAAATATGTCGATGTACGTGAATTATCATCGATATAATTAAGATCATAACACTTGATAAATTTATAAAAGACAATGTCATGAGATCTATTCGTTTTTATGTGAGCCAAACCAATGTATTTTTGGCTCACTGCAACTATCCGCATTACACTCGGTCTGCCTCATTTAGCTCACGAATTAGACAAATAGAGATAAGTTAAGTATTTTTCTAAAAAAACTTTTAGATCATACAAATTTGGATCGGACCGAACCGATTTGTGTTTACACCTTGTGTTTTTGTAAGGAAAAAAGCGTCGTTCTCCTGATATGCGAAATTGCCTTGTCAAAAAATGACCTGAAAAGTTCAAAATACTAATAAATGCAAAGCAGGTGTATAGATGTTGTTTTTAGTGCAAAGAAGGACAATGGGTTGAGATACGAATAAACCGGCATTTGGAAGGATAGGAAAAGAAGAAAGGGCAGATAATAATGAATAAAATATGGATATTAAATTCAAACATGGGACGGAACAAAATGCCAAAAGGTGGTCTGCGAATCCTTTTCTGCTCCGATATGTACCCACGAAATCGCCTCTCAATAACACCAAGCGTTTATAAAGAACACGTTTACCTCTCTCTCTCTCTCTCACGCGCGCACAAACTTCCCATGTTCTTCCCCAGACAGAATCATCGACACACGCCATGAAATTCTCCATTGTTGGTCTCTGTATCTCCAACAGTTTTCGCAGATCTACTCTAGTGCCTTTTTTTTATATAACCATCACTTTCTTCTCCAGTATCCGATTCTGTTTTTGGTTCGATCGGATCGTTTCTGAAATCTAAGTTGGGATTCGCTTTCATTTATCATCTCTTTGACCGCAACGTTTATCTGGGTATCCCTCAAGGTTTCCCTTTTTTTTTGCTCCTCCAACTTTCTGATCAGTGGCCATCGCATCTCTTTTCGCCCAATATCATCTTGTTCTCTGGTTCTGTGTTTTCACGTAGGGAGAGAGAGATATCTCAACCGATCTTGCATGGCTTCGGAAAATAACATTGGAAAATCTTACAAGAGTGTTGAGATGAGTGAAGCAGAGAAAATGAATGAAATGGACTTGGGGGAAGAGGTCGAGTTCAGCAGCGTCAAGGGAAAAGATGTCAATTCGGGCTCGGAGAGGTCTCTGCAGTGGAGGCCAGTTTTTGGAGAAGCTTCCTCAACATCCCAGAGGCCTTTGAAGAAGATGCGGAGCCCTGATCGCCATATCCCCTATTATCTCCAACACTCTTCTACTGCTTCTCAGCCGCCATTTTCTTTCGGAGCAACTTCCTCTGTTTCACCTGTCTCTTCTTCTTCTTCTTCTTCTTCGAGGCTTGCTTTCCCCTTCGTCCTCGACCCATCAATTCAGCGCCCACAACGGTTAGGATACGTGCCCGGCACCTGTTTTCACCCTCCCAACCTGCCAACCCAAAGCCGAGAGCAGATGATCTCGTTTGGTCCTCAACCGCACCAGAATGCGAATTTCCCGCCATTTTCAAGCATGGATTCATTTTCAATGGCTCAGCAGCAGCAGTATCTTCTTCAGTACTGGAGCGACACTCTGAACCTGAGCCCGAGAGGAAGGCTGATGATGATGAGCAGGTTAGGACAAGAGGGTGGTCATCTGACTCCGCTGAGGCAGTCCCTTCAGCCCTTCAGTGCCAGGAAGCTATATAGAGGAGTTAGGCAACGACACTGGGGAAAATGGGTCGCCGAGATCCGTCTGCCACGGAACAGGACGCGTCTCTGGCTTGGCACTTTCGACACAGCAGAAGCAGCAGCCTTGGCCTACGATCGTGAGGCCTTCAAGCTCAGAGGGGAAAATGCCAGGCTTAATTTCCCTGAGCTTTTTATCAATAATACTGATAAAGAGATTAACGCAACGACTGCATCAAACTCTTCGCGCGAGAAACAGCCGGAACCACCGCCTCAAGTAAACCCTGCCTTGGCTAACGAATCCAGAGTGGATGATCTTGACGAAGAGTCAGGGATGGGATCAAGGGAGGCCGCAGCGAACGATGGGAGCAGCATGGCTGGGGAAATGGAGTGGGGAGAGATGTCCGAGGCCTGGTTCAAGGCGATTCCAGCGGGCTGGGGGCCTGGAAGTCCGGTTTGGGACGATCTAGATACGACCAGCAACCTTCTATCGCAATCTCAGTTTTCGTCTTCAAACCATAATCAACATGAGCCCTGTGATCCCCACCCAGACAGCCCTTCTTCTTGTCCTATGAGGCCTTTCTTCTGGAAGGACCAAGACTGAAAAAGGTTTCTCATTCCT